CACATAGAACACAATTGTTCCCTTTGTATCTCTATGTTAAAGCAGACCTTCACTCTAGTTCGGGGTACAGTAACACCCCACCCCCTTTTAAAGTACAACTAAAGGCAAAACTTTTTTTTTTTTTTCGTTTTGCATAGAGTATGGGAGGGTTATAACCCGTGTTGGGTTTCTTTTTTTGCCACATGTAGCCTATTGGGGACCCAGATTTACCTTCATTTCCTGTCCCATAGCCAAAACAGGAAGGGAGGGGAAATCTCTGCAAATGAATGGAATCCACTGGGGCCCTCAGGTCACCTGAACTAATGTCCACGTTGGAAGATATCCCCCCTATTCTTGTTCTGGGGACAACCCAAAATTTGTGATTTTCTTTCACTTTTGGTGATAATGGTAAACAGGAAAAACAGAGAGGATGAATCTCTCTAACGGGAGCAGACGGCAATAAAAAACCCAACAGGGGTTCTAATCCATCTCCACTAATGGTCTCTGTACTGCAGCCCTTCGCTTGCCTTTATCGAGGGGGCGCTGGCCCTCCCACCGACGCCAGCGATGGAAAACTGGCCCTCCCACTGACGCCAGCGACGGGGCGCCATGCCTCCCACTGACGCCAGCGACGGGGCGCCATGCCTCCCACTGACGCCAGCGACGGGGCGCCATGCCTCCCCTAATACCAAAGATGGGGCGCCATTCCTCCCCTAATACCAAAGATGGGGCGCCATTCCTCCCCTAATACCAAAGATGGGGCGCCATTCCTCTCCTAATACCAAAGATGGGGCGCCATTCCGCTCCTAATACCAAAGATGGGGCGCCATTCCGCTCCTAATACCAAAGATGGGGCGCCATTCCTCTCCTAATACCAAAGATGGGGCGCCATTCCTCTCCTAATACCAAAGATGGGGCGCCATTCCTCTCCTAATACCAAAGATGGTACACTATTCCTCCCCTAATACCAAAGATGGGGCGCCGTTCCTCTCCTAATACCAAAGACGGGGCACCGTTCCTCCCCTAATACCAAAGACGGGGCACCGTTCCTCCCCTAATACCAAAGACGGGGCACCGTTCCTCCCCTAATACCAAAGACGGGGCACCGTTCCTCCCCTAATACCAAAGACGGGGCACCGTTCCTCCCCTAATACCAAAGACGGGGCACTGTTCCTCCCCTAATACCAAAGACGGGGCACTGTTCCTCCCCTAATACCAAAGACGGGGCACTGTTCCTCCCCTAATACCAAAGACGGGGCACTGTTCCTCCCCTAATACCAAAGATGGGGCACTGTTTACTCCCATGTGCCACAGTTCGGTCCCCCCTAAGGTCTGAAGGACAATAAACCAGCCCTTTGTTTAGAAAGTTTGGAGACCCCTACTCTACAATCTATCAAAACCTAGAAAAAAAAAAAAACTTTAACAAAAGCTGCGTACTTTTGTCACCATTTGGCAATGATATATTTAATTTTTATTTTCCTTTTTTTCTGTTTTGCCAGCTGCACCCCGGGTATGGATTTTTTGGTAGAGTTACTTTGGTCCAGCTTAGCACAATGCAAGTATGAACGTGTCACAGCTTTGAGATCCCAGAGGGAGCTGAAAATCATTGTAGTAGTTCCCGCTACTAGTGATCGCTGAGGTCTCCCAGGTCCCGGCCGCCCTACTGCTTAGAGAACACAGGAGGTCGCTCAGTCAACACAAGCACCATTCAGACAAAGCCTTGTATTTTACAAAATGAATGCAAAGTGCTCTCTGATTGGGCAAGTTAGGTAGGTGGGGCCGGTGATGTTACAATCTGAACCTCGTCCAATCAGAGAACGGAGGAGAATCACAAAGTGTTCAGTGAATAGTGCTGATCGACCTCTTGTGTGTATTATGCAGCCAATCAGTATGGGACCTGGGGCGATCAGTGTAGTAGCAGTGACTACTACAGCGATTCTCCACTTCCATAGCAGTACCACAGGTATGCCATCCATATTCTCACATGGACCCAAGCCGGGCCTATGTATCTATACAGTAAAATCCATACCTGGGGTGCAGGTACATTCATTGCTCCATGCCCATGCTGTGAAATTAGCCCCTTCCTATGCATTATGACACATGTCATCTCAGTGACAGGGTCCCTTTAAGCACTGAGACACAGCCATTCTCTGCTACAATTGGGGTAGTCACAGCTTCCCCTCCCTTCCACCACCCACACCACTCCGTGTATTTCCAGCACTGACACCGCCATGTAAACACACACACACCCCGCTGAGATCTCCCAGCACGCTGGCCTCACCCAACACTCCACAGCTAGCTATAGACTCAGCCAATCAAAAGCCCGTCTGCTTAGATTGACACAATTCTCCGCCAATGGCAGCGCAACCTTCGCAAAGGCGGCGTCAAGTAAGAAAGGAGGACGGGCCTGGTGCAGCGCAACGTGCTTCCGTAGGAAGCGTACGTACTATTTCTGACCGTGCGTCTTACCGTGATTCGCCATATTTGGTATTGGCAATTGTGTTATGCCCATTATTGGAGTGTAGGGATAGGACTGATTGAATAGTTGTGCCCATGAGACAAAGTTAGGATGTGAAGTAACCCATAGCAACCGTTCTGAAGTGAAATGTCTGTAATTGCTCTAATCTGCTGAAATCAGATTGCGATAATACACATTATCCATTTTCAATCCATGTTACATTAGAGTCCATTCAACATACAATAATCCATGTGTTGTACTGGGCATTACTGCAGGGCCTGGTAACAAACTAAATGCCTGGCAGTACTCGGGTCGTTGGTTCGAATCCCAACCATTGCACCACCTGCCTGGAGTTTGCATGTTCTCCCTGTGCCTGTGTGGGTTTCCTCCAGGTACTCCGATTTCCTCCCACACGCCAAAGACATGCTAGTAGGTTAATTGGCTCCTGTCTAAATTGGCCCTAGGATGTGTATGTATGAATGTGAGTTAGGGACCTTAGATTGTACATGCCTTGAGGGTTAGGGACTGATGTGAACGTACAATATATATGTAAAGCGCTGCGCAAATTGAAGGCGATATAGAAGTACCTAAAATAAATTAAATAAATGTGGTGCGGCACAGTGCCATTACTAGGAACCCAATTCACTTAGAAAACACAACGCACAGAGGTGAGCCATGGCACAGCTCCACCAAGATATGTACAGCCCTACTGCTACGCATGGTAATGCATGTGGGATGATACACCTCAGTCTGAACAGGTGATTGTGACAATAGATGGGCAACACACATTCCTCAGCAGATGTAGGCAACATACAGTAACAGCAATACATGCATTATGTGGGCAGCAAACAGACAATCTGTACTAGACACAGGCAACAAAGGGCAATCAGTAAGATATACAGGCAAAAAACAATCAGTAGAATACAGAGGCAACAAATGGGCAATCAGTAAGATATACAGGCAACAAACAATCAGTACAATACACAGCCAACAAACGGGCAATCAGTAAGATATACAGACAAAAAACAATCAGTACAATACACAGGCAACAAATGCCTAATCCCTATGTTACACAGGCAACAAATGGACAATCAGTAAGATATACAGGCAACAAATAATCAGTACAATACACGGGCAATCAGTAAGATATTCAGGCAACAAACAATCAGTACAACACACAGGTAACAAACAGACAATCAGTGCTACACACAGTCAACAAATGGGCAATCAGTATGATACACAGGCAACAAACACCTAATCATTACAATACACAGGCAACAAACAGACAATCATTATGATACACGGGAAACAAATAGGCGATCAGTGCAATACAAAGGAAACAAAGAATTAGTATGATACACAGGCATCAAACGGGAAATAAGTAAAATACACAGACAACAAAGGGGAAATCAGTAGAATACACAGGCAACAATCGGGATGAGTACAATACACAGACAACAAATGCATAATCAGTACAATACACAGGCAACAAACGGGCAATCAGTAAGATATACAGGCAAAAAACAAATCAGTACAATACACAGGCAACAAATGGACAATAAGTAAAATACACAGACAATCTGTACTGATGTGAACTATGACATTGACAACCATATCACCTACTTTCTGTGCGTTTTGGATGCAGAAAAAAAGCAACTGAAATGCATGTAGTGTGAACTAGCCCTTAATTCAAATAAAAATAGGTTATCACCAGGGGCGGACTGACCAGGCAACAAATGCCTAATCGCTATGGTACGCAGGCAACAAACAGGCAATCAGTAAGATATACAGGCAAAAACAATCAGTACAATACACAGACAACAAACGGGCAATCAGTAAGATATACAGCAACCAACAATCAGTACCATACACAGGCAACAAACAGACAATCAGTGCTACACACAGTCAACAAATGGGCAATCAATATGATACACAGGCAAAAAATACTTAATCAGTACAACAAGCAGGCAATCAGTATGATACACGGGCAACAAGTGGGCAATCAGTGCAATACAAAGGAAAGAAAGAATTAGTATGATACACAGGCACCAAATGGGCAATAAGTAAAATACACAATCTGTACTGATGTGAACTATGACATTGACAACCATATCACCTACTTTCTGTGCGTTTTGGATGCAGAAAAAAAGCAACTGAAATGCATGTAGTGTGAACTGGCCCTTAATTCAAATAAAAAAATAGGTTATCACCAGGGGCGGACTGACCATTCGAGCACTCGGGCTCTGCCCTGGGGTCCGAGGTCAGTAGGGGGCCCCATGAAATGCCCCTGATACCTTTTATAGGCTTTTTTGGGTGTGCTTTGAGTGTGGGCAAGGACACAGGGGCCCCATGATCCCCTATTGCCCGGGGGCCCCATGAGTTGTCAGTCCACCCCTGGTTATCACTTAAAGTGTCACTAAACCCACAACAGTAAAATCAGTCTGTATATACAGTAAAGCATGCTTGTTATACTCACTGTGGAACCTAAGGGGTTAATTCTCTGTGTTTTGTAAAAAGGCAGTTTGATCCTGTCTTCTCTGTTCCTCCCCTTTTTCAAGTGATCACCTCTTATCTCCTAATAAGACAGACTGAACCGTGGGCATTTTGCACATGCTCAGTTTGGTGTGTATTGCTAGAGAGGGTTTGATCCTGACTATTCTACCCCTCCTCTTATTTATTTATTTACTCCTCTTGTTCAAATGTCCACGCTGATCAGACAGACTGAACCCGTAGCCCTTCTGCACATGCTCAGTTTAGTGTGTATTGCTAGAGAGGTTTTTTTTTTTTCTTGGGAGAGTGCATGTGATCAGCACAGGGCCAATCAGCACTTGTCAGACAGAGGTCAGGGGTTCTGCATTATCCTAGAGCAGAAAGAAAACTCCTACAAGCTTGAGCTAGTGCTGGGCTGGACACTGATAGAAAGCACAAGACTGCTCTAACTTTTGATGAGAAAAGGTATTTAGCAGTTTATATTTACTAAAATAATTGCATTTCCATGTTGTGTGTACTGTAGGAGACCAGATATAGTGAATGCAGGGTCCTGGGAGACCAGATATAGTGACTGCAGGGTCCGGGGAGAGCAGCAGATATAGTGAATGCAGGGTCTGGGGAGACCAGATATAGGGAATGCAGGGTCCTGGGAGACCAGATTTAGTGAATGCAGGGTCCGGGGAGACCAGATATAGTGAATGCAAAGTCCGGGGAGACCAGATATAGTGAATGCAGGGTCCTGGGAGACCAGATTTAGTGAATACAGGGTCCGGGGAGACCAGATATAGTGAATGCAGGGTCCTGGGAGACCAGATTTAGTGAATACAGGGTCCGGGGAGACCAGATATAGTGAATGCAGGGTCCGGGGAGACCAGATATAGTGAATGCAAAGTCCGGGGAGAGCAGATATAGTGAATGCAGGGTCCGGGGAGACCAGATATAGTGAATGCAGGGTCCGGGGAGACCAGATATAGTGAATGCGGGGTCCGGGGAGACCGGATATAGTGAATGCAGGGTCCGGGGAGACCGGATATAGTGAATGCAGGGTCCGGGGAGACCGGATATAGTGAATGCAGGGTCCGGGGAGACCAGATATAGTGAATGCAGGGTTCGCGGAGACCAGATATAGTGAATGCAGGGTCCGGGGAGACCAGATAGAGTGAATGCAGGGTCCGGGGAGACCAGATATAGTGAATGCAGGGTCCGCGGAGACCAGATATAGTGAATGCAGGGTCCGGGGAGACCAGATATGGTGAATGCAGGGTCTTGGGAGATCAGATATAGTGAATGCAGGGTCCGGGGAGACCAGATATAGTGAATGCAGGGTCCTGGGAGACCAGATATAGTGAATGCGGGGTCCGGGGAGAGCAGATATAGTGAATGCAGGGTCCGGGGAGACCAGATATAGTGAATGCAGGGTCCTGGGAGACCAGATATAGTGAATGCGAGGTCCGGGGAGAGCAGATATAGTGAATGCAAAGTCCGGGGAGAGACCAGATATAGTGAATGCAGGGTCCGGGAAGACCAGATATAGTGAATGCAGGGTCCGGTGAGACCTGATATAGTGAATGCAAAGTCTGGGGAGACCAGATATAGTGAATGCAGGGTCTGGGGAGACCAGATATAGTGAATGCAGGGTCCGGGGAGACCAGATATAGTGAATGCAGGGTCCGGGGAGACCAGATATAGTGAATGCAGGGTCCTGGGTTTAGTAACACTTTAAGGGCTAATTCACACTAGATGCAGTTTAGTGCACTTTTTTTCTGCATCAGAAATGCATACACAGTGTTTTCCATGTATTCCAATGGCCCTAGTTCACACAAGTGCAGTCAGTTCCAGACAGTTTCTGGTGCAGAAAAAAAAGTAGAACATTCTGCATTTATTCTGCACAGAACCATACTGGAACGTGGCAAACTGCATCAAAACTGCACCAGAACGGAGTGTGGTGTGAACTGTAAGCAAGAACGTATCCGGAGTGCATTTTTGTAGTGTGAACTTGGCCTCTGCCACCTACATATAAAATGTGATTATGAAATATTTGAAAAAACAGGGAAATAACCTGTCGTGACACTGACACTCACCGGCCACTTTATGAGGTCCACCTTGCTAGTACCGGGTTGGACCCCCTTTTGCCTTCAGAACTGCTTTAATTCTGTGTGACATAGATTCAACAAGGTGTTGGGAACATTCCTCCCAGATTTTGGTCCATACTGACATGATAGCATCACACAGTTGCTGCAGATTTGTTGGCTGCACATCCATGATGCAAATCTCCCGTTCCACCACAACCCAAAGGTGCTCTATTGGATGGAGATCTGGTGACTGTGGAGGCCATTGGAGTACAGTGAGCTCATTGTCATGTTGAAGAAACCAGTTTGAGATGATCTGATCTTTGTGACATGGTGCATTATCCTGCTGGAAGTAGTCATCAGAAGATGGGGACAGTGGTACCTGTTGTGGTCTTCTGCTGCTGTAGCCCATCTGCTTCAAGGTTGGATGTGTTGTGCATTCAGAGATGGTATTCTGCATACCTTGGTTTGTAATGAGTGGTTATTTGAGTTACTGTTGCCGTTCTATCATCTCAAACCAGTCTGCCCATTCTCCTCTGACCTCAACAAGGCATTTTCGTCCACACAACTGCCGCTCACGGGATATTTTCTCTTTTTCGGACCATTCTCTGTAAACCCTACAGATGGTTGTATATGCAAATCCCAATAGATCAGCTGTTTTTACCTGTCTGGCACCAACAATCATGCTATGTTCAAAGTCACTTAAATCCCCTTTATTCCCCATTCTGTTGCTCGATTTGAACTTCAGCAAGTCGTCTTCACCACGTCTAGATGCCTAAATGCATTCAGTGATTGGCTGATTAGCAATTTGTGTTACCAAGGAATTGAACAGATGGACCTAATAAAGTGGCCGGTGAGTGTACTTTGCAATGGTAAATTTTAAAACTATTTTTGTATGCAGTTTAATATGTTTCCAAAAAATTAAGTAGTCTTTCTTTACATATTTTTGCACCAGTGTGTTTGTCGTGTCGTGCCGATCGTCACTTGTAAAGTTCCGTGACCGTAGCAGGTAATTAATCCTGATTCCACACAGCTATGCCATTACACACATATTCATCCAACAGTCACCCTTCCCTCCATCCACAAAGCCTTGAAGCTGAACTTCAGCTAAACAAATATTGTCTTAGTGAAAGAACTGTGTGTGTTCATTCTTAAATCATGGTATCCATTGTGTATTTCCAGCACATCTCTGCAGCAATAATGCATGAAACAGCTCCTTCCTTTGCCTCTGTGCATGAGCTTCCTGTAAAAAAGACCGGCCACTGCAGCTCTCTCTCTTTGTGTACAGTAACTGGTCTTGTCTCCGCCCCCTCCTGTAGTTTTCTGCAGCCAGACTGTAGTGGGTGGATCTTCTGAGCCCCTCCCACAGCTCTGCTTTCTGTAAAGTGATGATGTCACTGCTACTTTACAAGGTCAGATCTGAAATTGCAAAAGCGTTTTGTGCATACAGTGAATTTATATCTTTTATGGCTTTTAAAGAATACCTGCTCTGCACCGCTGTGACCTCATTTTTACCCTCCATTTCAAGTACTGACACATATTACAGTAAAAAAAACAGCAAATGCAGGTACTCTAACGTTATGTAGGTTAATGTGTGTTTTTTGGTTTTTTTTTCTATGCTGAGTGTAGTTCTTTTTTTAATCGTCCCAAGTGTGTAGAGGCAGTTATCTCCATATAGGAATGTGAAAGAACAAATGCTAATTATCCGCATCAGTGATTATCTAGTGATTGGTGTTTATCTAGTGTAAAGTTTAATAGGTGTTGCCTAATCTTGGTCTCTAACAACATTATATCCAGGGAACTGTTAAGGGAGGATTAGAGGAGAGTTATTCGATTTCGTGGTGTACTGGAGATACACGTCAACGAGGAAGTTTCCACGTTATCGGAATTTAGAATCACTTGTAAGTATTATAACCAATGTACTGTATATATATTTATATCACTTTTCCAATGATTCTGTCACTCCTATCTAGATCAAAGTGCTGCAGAACAGATGATGTTCAAATTTTTCCTTTTTAGATTCACACATCTGTTCCAAGCAGCCAGCAATGGAAAATGAGTTGTTTGTCATTTGTGTAAACCAACCTTTCTCAACCTGTTTACTCGAGTTGAAGAACTTGGAACAATTTTCCAGTCTTGGGGAACTCCTGCTAAAACCAGTTCATTTGGTGGTTAGTGTGAAAAATGCTCTCCATGCAGTGGTGGTCAGAATACAATCCTTACGGACAGCTAAAAATGTTATTGGTCTTATGCAGAATTCGTTAACTTTTCCAAGTTGCGATGGCCCTGCAACTATGTTTGCACCATAAAATGGGAGATCAATCAGCCACAAGTCAAGGAGCCCTCAGCAACTTCTAGAGGAGCCCTGGTTGAGAATTGCTGGTATAAACTAAGGTGCTCATAGACATGAGATGAAAGTCTCTAATTTTGGCTGCTTTTGGCCATATCAGAGGACAATCTCATGTCACTAAAGTAGCTGCAGAAAATATCTACTGGACAGATCTTGATGGAGAATGGACAGATCTTGATGGATACTCTTACAAAGAGCTACAACTATCATTGTTAGCATGCTGCCAGCTCTGCCAAGTGGCATTGACCATGCAACCATAGAGGCATCACCAAATGGGGGGGTCAATCTGCCAGAGCTCAAGTAACCCCTAGAAATTCCTAGGGTTCCACAAAACCCTGGTTGAGAATGATTGATGAAAACTAAGTGCCTTTATACATGAGATGAATGTCTCCCATTCTGACTGCTTTTGGCTCTTATCTTTGGGGTAGCTGTAGACAAGATCTACCAGATGGATCTCGATGGAGGAATTAATGAAATAGATTAGAAAATGATGTGTTGTTGGCCCCCCATGATTAGACAATACCATGGAAATTCTATAGCTTGTTAAGGAATACCTTCCTTTCCCATAGCTGAACAGGGCCCCTATGCAACCCATGTATTCATGGTTATAGCCAAAAAGACGTCATGAGATGGTCAGACTTTGCTTCTGGCCCAGTTGCTGTCAATGTCTCTGGCTAGCAACCTGATGAGCTTCATGGAGTTGGGAGCCCAAGATGAAGATCTGTGTAGGAATACAGAGTACAGCTACCCTCATATTGAGTCTATCATTGCATTGTACTGTAAAATAATCTAAATTGTGGATGACTGCATGGATTCCTTTAAATTGCAGACAGAGATAAGTTAACTAGCATTGTCAATAATGATGAATCTAGATTTGAGGGAACGTGGGAACCATGGATCAGATATATCTCCATTGCTTAACAACGCCACAGCTGACTCTCTCATTTTCTCCCTCTTCCCCCCTTTTTTTTTTTTTGTCTTTTTCTTTTCTTCTCTCCTCCTTGTCTTATCCTAGATCTTTTCTTTCGATCTCCCTATTCTTAACTTTTTTTCTTTTGAATTGGGGTTTTATATTGGTGGTTAATTTCTCTGGCAATGCCCTTGTCCATTGTCTGTTGGAACGTTTGCTACCTGGTGAGAATGCTGGTTTTTATATATATGCTTATATGTACTATGACTTTGTTTATTCTCACCATTTCGCCATGTGGGCGGAAATGTTATTGTTCCTATGCATACCACTGTAAACTAATTCTCAATAAAAATATTGAAGTATAAATTGCAGACAGGTATGAAAACTCATAAAATATATTCACTAATAAGACAGGAAAAGTTTATAATGCTGTCCACAGACAAGCAGAACATCAGGGAAAACAGGATTTTTCCATCTGAACAGTTTCGCGTTCTTCTGATACTTGGACATACAGCATATGCAGAATGTTGAAGAATTGTCAGTTATAGGAAGTGCCAGTATGCTGTAAAACATTTTAAAAACAAATTAATTCTGGTGGTTGGAAATGCCTGAAGAACCCTCAATAACTTAATATGCTGTGAGTTTTTTTTCTCAACTAAAAACAAAAAAATCCTCTACTACTAATCCAAATCCCCCCCCAAAAAAAACATTGTTTTACTCTATAGGTAGATCTGAATGGCTGGATTTCCATTGCTGGAGGCAGTAGGGCCTAAGTAACACTACTCTGTTAGGATCACCTCTTTGAAGAGTAGGACCCTGCTTTCCTGGTCCTATGACTATTTCTACTGACAAAGGGAAAACATACATGGCTACAAATAGGCGTATCTCCATTAAGCATAATGGTAAATCTGGCCTTGCCAATTTGGCAACTCTGGGTTATACTGTGCCCCAACCTTCCACACCCTTCCCAACTCTTTTACTTTATTCTCTTTTTTTGCAAAATACTCAGTGCTTCAAGGTATGGGGAGCATGTGAGCATCCTTCAAAGAGGCAACACCAATTGCCAGGCCTAAACACTGTCATGTGAGGGAAGGTTGTCATCAACTCTGTGTAATCAATGATATGGAGTTTATATACAGTAGGTTTAGTCAGGGCAATTCAGGGGTCTGACAGAGTAATGGAGCAGAGGGGCAGGAGCAGATGGTTGTAAGGGGACTGATTTAAGTAGAGTGACTGAGTCTCTTTAAGAAGAGTTGAAATTGAAGCGCCACATCACTGCTAAGAGGTCCAGATACAACTTTATTCCATTAAAGGTCAGTGGTTTTTCTGTTTGAAAAAAAAAGGTCAGGGGTACAATTCAAAAAGGATCCAATGTCATTTGGGGGGTTCTAGGTGCCCCTTTAAAAAGGCTTTTTATCTTGTGTGAATTGAAAACACAGGCCTAATTAATAGCTTGTTTGGCAGCTGGTTGGGTTGTTGTCAAACAAGCTGCTGATTAGGCCTGTGAAGGGGGCACATAGACCCCCAAACCGTATTGGCTACTTTTTGAGCACCCTCGACTATTATTGGAATAAAGTTGTATCTGGACCTCTTAGCAGTGGTGTGGCACTTAAATTTCAACTCTTTTTTACATTACTCTACAAGAAAAGGAGACTGTGGAGGTCCTCTGGGGTGTAGAAGCCACCTGCCCAGCAACCAGATAATTTACACCAACATCAATAACTTAGGATAACAATTCCAGTAAAATAAACCTATGGGTCCAGTGCTATCTTTCCACTTTCCTCAAATGTGTCTCTTTAAGAAAGAGGAGATTCAGCTAATTAATGTCCACCTTACAGTACAATCCTGGTTTTAAGTGGACTGACCCTTTATGCCTATTTCCCTTTCAGTATGATGGACAGTTCTTTGGAGTTCTGCCGGCAGAAGGAAGATCTTGTCCGCACAGTGAGGACCCTGCAGGTTGCCACTCAGAACACGCTACAGAAAACGGTCCCTCTTCTGGCTTCCCAGATGGGTCTGGGGCTCCTGAGACCTTCCCATGTACATCAGCTCTCTGAAAAGACCAGTCAGGTTTGCAGAGAACTAGAAGATGTAGGCAATCTGCTCTTATTTCGACAGGATGAACTTGTTCAGACAATATCAGTGCCTGGGACTGGAGGCTCTAATTCTCTTCAGTGGTGCTCAGATGGCTCTCTCTATGTATGTGGAGATAATGGACCCTATATTCATTTACTAAATAGCCATGGAAAACCCAGTCAGGCCCTTTATTGTCGTGATGATGACCTCTTCCTTCCAGATAGCATTGCCATGACCCGTCTTGGTTCTATAGCAGTCACTGATATCGCCAAAGGTGTTGTGCGTATTCACAAACCCACCTCAAACCCACCTTGGGTTAAGGTGGGTGGTTATTTCCTGTCTCCGAAAGGTATTGCTGTGGACTCATCTGGGCGGATCCTAGTTGCAGAATACACAGCTGGAACAGTCCAGGCTTTCAACATAGACAAAATTAATCGAGTACACGGAGTTAAAAAAGGTTTCTGGTCTTCAGGGTCCACAGAACATATGCGCTATGTCAGATGGGGGGTTTGCAGTGTCTGAGGAGTGTGGGAGATGTAAAGTTATTTACAAGCAACTTAAAGCCTTGTGGTTCCATCTCAGAAATATACCAGCATAAGTTTGGGGATCCATCAGGAATTTGTGCAGACCCAGAAGGGAACATATTAGTGGCCGATGTCCAGAAAAGGAATGTCACTCTCTTTCCAGTTAGTGGGTCCCCCATTTGTATTGTCTCCAAGGATCTTTGCAAGCCATCAGGCCTATCATGCTCTCCATTTGGCCTCCTGTATGTGGCAGATTCTGGGGACAATTCTGTTAAGGTGTACAAGTACCGTGCAAAGCCATACTATGCTCCTATCAGCCCTAGAAAATCTGGAGATGCTCAATCTCTGACCCCAAGGGCTTAATCGGGTACCCCAAATTAAAGTACAGTCTAGATATAAGGCACCTTCACCAACTGATACATACCTTCAGCCAGTCCTGGGACAAAGTCATCCAGTGCCCAGGGCAAGTATCCAGAACTGCATCCTCCTCCCTCACAGTTATTACATGCTGTAGAATGGGTGTACCACCCTGCATCTATACTTTACTCCCTTGCTTCTTTGCGCACAGCTGTCCCTTCTGCCCACCCCTTGTCCCAGCCCTGCCTTCACCACCCTTCACCATTCTCTGCGGGAGCGCTTTGAAATCCTGGTATGGAATCCAGGATGACCCTCAGGGGCCAATCACCCAGCCTGAATCCTGTCATGTAGGGGATGGTAGAAGACGATTAGCCATATGTAAGTACAGACACTGACCTAAACTGGGCTTACACAGCAATTAGAACCAGCAATCCTGCAGGCAAACTGTGTGGCAGAGGAACATATTAGTTTGTCGTCGTGGGATAGGGGCTCTACCAAGAGAACATGTCATTTTTTTCCTGAAAAGACAAACTGGCAGATTTCCTTCACAAACGCTTGTGAGAAAATAAGATGATTGTAGCAAATAATTTTATCACCTAAAAATGAATCATCTTGTTGTTTGCTGTGGGCAGGACCTGTGCAATAAGCAATGCCATACTGACAATGGAAGACTTTTGATTGGTTGCTGTGGTTTATGAGACACCACTTTATAAAGTATATTTTCGTGTAGAGTCTACAATTGTCAGTCTGATCTGAGACATCTAAAAGGTATATATCCGAGCAGAACATTTTCAATAATAATGTACAATTATAGGTTGTATGCCTTATGCTTATAAGATTTTATAAGAAAGAACAAATATTCCTAAATATAGTAGAACATATGTATTTTATAGTGTATGTATTTACCTTGAACTGTATCCTGTGTATAGGCACCATAATCAAAAAACTAAAGCTGTATAGAACAAACTGTGTTCAGTTAGTAATCAATAATAGCCGCGCAATGTAGCTTTTTATGGAAATTATTTACAAACCTTTATTATATATGTAAAAAAAGATAATGGATAATCGTGAGAACAATACCTTGAAAGAGGGGACATACAATCAACAGTCATCATGAATTAAAAGAATTAGGTGGAGCTGCTTTCCCAACACTAAAGTGATACTAAACCCCGGACCCTGTATGCACTATATCTCAGAGGCGCCCCTAGGGTTGGTGTCACCCTGTGCGATAACACCTGGTGACACCCCCTCCGACGATCCCCGCAGAATGGATCGAATCTGCGGATTGAGCATAATGGATCGGACTCCGATCCATTATGCTCAATCCGTAGATCGGATCCATCCTGTGGGGATCGTCGGCTTGCTTTACAACTTACCTTTTCGTGGAGCGGGTCCGGTGTCACCCAGTGTGGTCGGTGTCACCCCCCGCACCTGCCTCGGGACACCACTGCTATATCTGGTCTCCCAGGACCCTGCATTCACTATATCTGGTCTCCCAGGTCCCTGCATTCACTATATCTGGTCTCCCCGGACCCTGCATTCACTATATCTGGTCTCCCCGGACCCTGCATTCACTATATCTGCTCTCCCAGGACCCTGCATTCACTATATCTGCTCTTCCTGGACCCTGCATTCACTATATCTGATCTCCCCGGACCCTGCATTCACTATACCTGGTCTCCCAGGACCCTGCATTCACTATATCCGGTCTCCCCGGACCCTGCATTCACTATATCTGATCTCCCCGGACCCTGCATTCACTATATCTGATCTCCCAGGACCCTGCATTCACTATATCTGATCTCCCCGGACCCTGCATTCACTATATCTGATCTCCCCGGACCCTGCATTCACTATATCCGGTCTCCCAGGACCCCGCATTCACTATATCTGGTCTCCCAGGACCCCGCATTCACTATATCTGATCTCCCAGGACCCTGCATTCACTATATCTGATCTCCCCGGACCCTGCATTCACTATATCTGATCTCCCCGGACCCTGCATTCACTATATCCGGTCTCCCAGGACCCCGCATTCACTATATCTGGTCTCCCAGGACCCCGCATTCACTATATCTGATCTCCCTGGACCCTGCATTCACTAAATCTGGTCTCCCACAGTACAAACAACATAGAAATGCAATTATTTTAGTAAATATAAACTGCTAAATACCTTTTCTCATCAGCAGTTAGAGCAGTCTTGTGACTTAAGCAGAGCACTGGTTAAAGCTTGTAGGAGGAATTTTCTTTCTGCTCTAGGAGGATGTGAAACCCTTTACCCTCTGTCTGGACAGTGTGGATTGGCCCTGTGCTGATCTCATGCACTCTCCCAAAAAAAAAGAAAAAAACCCTAGCAATACACACTAAACTGAGCATGTGCATGTGACCACGGATTCAGTCTGTATCAGGTGGTCATTTCAACAAGAGGAGGATCAGAGAAGACAGTGTCAAACAACCTTTTTACACAATGCAGAGGATTAACCCCTTAGGTTCCACAGTGAGTATACCACGACCGCACAACTGTCAGTTAAAGTAATGCAGCGCCGTAACGCAAAAAATAGCCTGGTTAGGAAGGGGGGTGGAAATCCTCTGGAGGGCAAGTGGAATCTCTTGGTCACACCGTTATTTTAAAATGGGATATTGTGGTAAAATAATAAAAAGTCCAAAAGAAATTCCAAATGTGATGGGATTGTCAGAAGTAACCCTGCACTACAAAAATAAAGTCAGCTTGCATATGCTACCAGTAACTCAGCTGCAGTCACTTTCCTTCGATTTTTATTCTTGGGGCCAAAAGAACTAACAAATTCATAAAGGAAGTCTATCACCGGATAAGTATATGGGCAACTGGTGAGCTCTCCTTCTGAAAACGCCGATTGCCTGGCTGTCATACTTTCGTGTTACTCAACTGGACCAAGTGTAACAATGTAGAACTCTGATTTTATTTATTATTTATGGTACTTATATAGCGCCGTCAATATACGCAGCACTTTACATATATATTGTACATTCACATCAGTCCCTAACCCTCAAGGGGCGTACAATCTAAGGTCCCTAACTTACATTCATACATACACATACTAGGGCCAATTTAGACAGGAGCCAATTCACCTACCAGCATGTCTTTGGAGTGTGGGAGGAAACTGGAGTACCCGGAGGAAACCCACGCAGGAACAGGGAGAACATGCAAACTCCAGGCACAGGAAGAACATGATTTTCTCTGACTTTCATTGGCGGCAGACTTGTTTTAGGTCTGTGATGTGCTAAAGCCAGACACAGCCAGGCAACTAGCCTTTTCAGGACATAAGCAATGGCAGGTCCCTATACTTCTCATATGGCAGATGTACAGAAAGACCTAGGTTTAGAGAACTATTTTCTATTTCAAATTCAAATGTATATTTTTAATTTCAAATTCATTTTCGAATTAATTTTCAAATTCAGAAAATGTGTTTTGTTATCATTTATATTGGATTAGTTGAAATTTGATACTATTGTTCAAAAATTTGGATACATCTGAATCTCTGAAAAAACGAAAAATTTCGTCTGAATTTCGTTTTAAAATTAATCGCAGTTGAAATTTGATACTATTGTTCAAAAATTTGGATACATCTGAATCTCTGAAAAAATGAAAATTTCGTCTGAATTTCGTTTTGAAATTAATCAATTAATCGCACGTCTACTAGTAAGTGGAAATATATTGTATTTTTGGTTTCGGGTTTGGATACATTTTAAGTCCTTTTAAATAACCCTCCTAATGGTTGTGGTAGGGAGAATGGGACAATGAGCCCAACCCACATTCCTCTAACCTACAAGTTTACCTCTTCACTTATCTGTACACCATATTGACACCAGCAACACTAAAACGTAGGACGCGGGCGCTTTCTTAGCGGCACTAAAGTACTAAAGTCAGTAGGAGGGGTCCATTACCAGCCAGTGTTATCAGGACTCACAGCCTGTTCTGCCGTTACTACCAGTTTGTAAGTATTCCAAATGTACTGTAATATATATATATATATATATATATATACTGTATATATATTATTATTATTATTACATCGCGTTTATATAGCGCCAAAGGGTTTGCTCAGCGCTGTACAAAATACAATATATATATGTGTGTGTGTCTGTGTATATTACATACAAAAATACACTATATTTTATATATATATATATATATATATATATATATAGTATAAATAGATATATATTAACATACATATATTGACAGTTTTTTTATATATTTATATATATATATATATATATATATATATATATATATATATATATATATACTCACAAGGTTTTCTGAAGGCAAAATCAAAAATCTTTTTTTTTGTTCTTTTGCTTTAAAAATCTACTATATAAAAATCTATATATTATATATATATATGTATATATATATATATATATATATATATATATATATAGTATAAATATATATTGACATACATATATTGACAGTTATTTTTAGATATTTATATATATATATATATATATATATATATATATATATATATATACTATATACTCACAAGGTTTTCTGATGGCATAATCAAAAACTTTTTTCTTTGTTCTTTTGCTTTAAAAATCTATTGCTGATTTCATTCAAACTTTATAATTAAAGTGAATCTAAACTGGTTTTACAAAAAGAACATTCTGTAACAATATGTATTCTTAACCCAGAAAACTCCATTCTAGTATTCTCAGCCTCCTCCATATCTCAAAATTTTAAAACAAAATTTTTTGTGTTGCTGTGAGCTGACTTCCTGCTAGGCTTCATGTACACAAGCCTACCCTGACCGCCGGCCACGGGAAAACGCAAAAAGGCTGAAATGCGTTTTTGCTGCAGTTTTGCCGCATTATGCGTTTTCTTGTGGACGGTGGTCCCTATCCTGAACGTGATTCTTCTGCGATCAGGAGAGGGAGGTTTAACCTCACCTAAATGCAAGAGTTCATGGACACATAGGCTTTTATGGAGCTGAGTTCAGGAGCTTTGGCAAAAAAATGCC